TCTCCAAATTTGTCAACATTTGCTTATTTTCTTCGATTTCACCAACTTACATCACAATATCAAAATCACACATCTAATTATTTATCAATTACATAAACATTACATCATTAATTATTTAATTAACCAAAAAAATTACATCTCTATTAATAACAAATTAATTCTTAAACAAAACTATTAAATATAAATTAGGCAAACGTGTATTACACGTTGCTTACACCTAGTTAATAATAAAATAACTAAAAAATAGTATATTTATTACAAAAAATTTACAAACGCAAGTTAATCTTCATTTATGATGTCAAAGATTTAGGATAACATGTTTGGGAGCATTTTTAAATACTTAAAAGCTTTAAATCATAGGAATATGTATATAATAAGTTAATAGTAATTATGGATCTTATAAAATGTATGGATAAAAAATACATTTGATTAACTTCAATTATAATTTAAAACTTTATCAAACATGCACAATCACATAACATAACACCTATTAAGGCTCTTATCGGAACTATCTCATTTTCTTTAAGAGAAAGTACAACTTGAAAACCAAGTCAACCAATGGCAGGTTGAACTGGTCGGAAGAAGTCGAATTCATCTTAATTTTTAATTTACAATGTTCTGAATACATTGAGTCGATTGTTATGTCGATTTTCAGTGTTTTAGTTAGGGATGATAAAAAAAAAATAGTTATACCAAATGCCCGTGGGACTCCACCACGAGTCTCATTTAAAGTTCATTTTGAAATGCGAGTTTTTTTTCACACGAAAAGAAAGTAATCATTATCATTCCTAGAGCAAACATAAAGTTTTCTACGATTTACAAAAAAAAAAAAAAAAGAAGGTAAAGATTTTTACCAACTAGGAATATTTAAAAATATGACAGTAAAAAAAAAGAAACAAAATGTGACGGTAAATAGGACCTGCCCCACTCCACTCCCACTCCCACCCCAAACTGCCTTGTCATGCCTTATTCGAGTATGAGGGCCGAACAAGGAGACAAAAATACCAAATAGTGCAGGGGATGGGAATGATTGCGCTAACCTCGACCCGATCCAACCGTTGTTATCCCTAATTCTAGGACCTTTTTGAAACCCTCATCAAAACTTTTCAAATACGATTTCAAATAAAACGTTTCATTATATATTTCTTTAGTAAATTCGAGGACTAATATCTTTTTATATATAAAAAGT